CGCGTGTCGTCCGAGATGGGGGGAGCGGAGGGGTTGCGCAGCTTCACAGTTCGGACAGGGGCGTGACGCTGAACAATGGGGGCGAAAAGACGAATAAAATGAGACCATGCATCAGAAATGTTTGAGGCTGCAAAGACGCAGGACCAGTCGACAGCTAGTAAATCCGCATCAAAAGACTGCATGTTGAAGCGTTTAAAAGAACGACATTGCACGACGCGTGGCTTGAGACGAAAACGAGGGACACTGATCAGTACACGAGTAAAAAGGTGAGGGCTAAAATGGCAAAAACGAGTTCCCCTTCGAGCTACGATCTCTCGGTTAGTGATGATGACGTCTATGGCAGAGCCGGATGAGAATGTCGGTTCGTTGATGTGGTGAAACATAGAATATTTAGATACAAAGTCGCTGAGAGCTCGCTTCGAGGGTCCAGCCGCAAGCCAATCACAGTTTAAATCTCCGGCAAGCACTACGTCACACTCTGGGCAATGAATCAGAGCATGCTGATACTGCTGCTCTAAAAGAGTGAAGTCGGCATCAAGTGCAGCGACGGTGCGACGAGGCGGGCGGTACAAAGCGGCAATGATTAATCTACGATTTTTATCCCAGGTAAACAGTGACCAGAGCGATTCTAGCTTACAGTTTGGATCGTCAGAGAGAGGGACTTTGATCGGTTTCTGCACATATGAATCACGGAACAGAATGGCGACACCACCGTGACCGAGTGGCGCATATGAGCGGTCAGAACGCTTCAAAGAGTATCGCACGCTATCGCACGGCCGTCTGACACAATTTGCACCGGCTCCGTCATAAACATGTCGCCCCTCTATCATGCACCTCCGAATATGGCCACACTGTTATTGCATCACCACAATGCAGTCGCTTCGCTTGCACATGCACAACCGCGGCCGCCAGTCATGTCGCAGAGACATTCTTGTTCTGGTGCGTCATTTGCCGCTGACTACGTCAGGTCGTCCAGTTGTACGTACATCATTCTACGAGTGTATTTTAGAAATCCTCTGTGGTCTTGCAAAGCAAGATTTCGCATATCGCTACCAAAGATGGCTATTGTTTATTTCAAAAAGAACATGAGGTACCAGTAGTTAAAAACAGATTTAGCTCTAAAAAATTTCACGTATTTTGAAAACCATGTGTTGGGTATTGTGTTGGGTTAGGTACAATATAAATTTCGAATGCTTTTAATTACTTTATCACTTGGAATACTGCTGAGACAGCTTTGCCGAACTTTTGACCCACGCACTCTTCTAAATGTAGAAACATAGGTATCTGATTTTCAAAGGGAATTTATTGCCTACATAGTTGCTTCTAGAACTCATGTGATGATACGACCTCCATCGCAGAAATGATATGAAGGCTCGATTCATGCTCGACTGATGCTAATCCTGGTCCCAGGTTCCTTTTGAACAGGTCGTGATCCATCATCAGATCAAAACTGGCAACCGTGACGTGTTGCATTGAGGCTTTCTCAGTCGCCTGCAGCGCCAAGACCAATATTGCAAATGCACACGCTGATGTTTCCGCCTAAGCGATGACGACTAGCACGTGCGACCACCGATACCTTACACCAAGTGAACTGCTGACGCGCTGTTTTTGCATTTTGATTGTGTGGTCATAATCGGGCGAGCGGGAAATGCTGCAAATTTTCACTGTCAAGTCTCGAAATTGGGCCATGAGTGCACAAGGCCATAGTGCACACTGCACAATCTTCTAAGTTTGGTCGTGTACACAGCTTGCACCAAAACATCAACAAACAAAAACGACACAGAGTAGGTAGGGGAAAGTTGGGTAATATCGGCCAGTAGGTATAATATCGGATAGGCAGTTATCTTCTGAACTCTCCCCCAGGTGCATACGCAAATATTTTATTTGGAAGAAAGGTAGCGCTGGATTTCCTTTGTCACCACCTCCTCTCGCAGGCAGTTTGCCGCCATGCTGTCATAATTGTTTTACGATAATCGCCATTTGTCCTTCCATCCATACAACTTATTAATTACCTGTTATCGCAGAGATAAAGAAGTTGTAACTGCCAAGTTGTACCTTTTCCACTTACCTGAACACTTTTGTTATCGATTATGGGCCAACTATCTGTGTTCAATGTGTTTGTTGCTCCCATTTTGCCGCATTTTGAACGGCCTACGTGTTTGTTATTATCGCACACCCATCCGATATTACCCCATGGGGGAAGGTGTTTGAACCCCCTCCGCCCCCCCCCCCCACCTCTTCTAACTCGGCTCCTGGGCCACGGAGCGACACGCGGAAGGTGGCGTTCGAAAGAGCAAGAAGCCAACGCATAACTCGGGAACCAATATCAACATCAAGACTCTTGGGATCCAATTGGACGCCCGTCCGTAATTTGCTGCTGCTGTCCGATAATACCCAAGAATTTTTTTTTCTTTAAAAAATCGCTGCGCTCCAACGCAACACCGGAACCTCAGCAGACTTTCTAAAAACAAAGTTTTGGGCTTTCTACATATATTTAAATGACTCCCAGTTACATAAAAATGATAACCTTCATGTTACGATGGCTTGAAGTTACCCGTCCGATAATACCCAAGTTTTCCCTACAAGAAACCACGTTTATACGGCCCATTCCCTTTGGCCTGATTCACCTTTCATCTTAGTATCACACTGACATCGAAAGCTTCGGGTCAAATTGGGTTTATTTGCAAATCAAGCGAAGAATTATGAGGATTACCTATGTATTTGTGTATCTACTTGTGCTTGTGTGCAGTTCTGTCAATGTTCGTGCGTCTTTGAGAGTTTACAAAATGGAGGGAGAGAGAGAGAGAGAGAGAGAGAGAGAGAGAGAGAGAGAGAGAGAGAGAGAGAGAGAGAGAGAGAGAGAGAGAGAGAGAGAGAGAGAGAGAGAGAGAGAGAGAGAGAGAGAGAGAGAAGAGAGAGAGAGAGAGAGAGAGAGAGAGAGAGAGAGAGAGAGAGAGAGAGAGAGAGTCGATTCCCTGGCGGCAAAGGTCACGACCTCCTGCTCTGTTTTGTATTGATTCCCGCACGATCCAGCTCCATGAGGAGCGTGGGGCCGGGCGACGCGTGCTTCGGCAGGAGTAGCCGCATGGCCGATAATGCCGGCCTTCCCAGCCGGGCGTCCAGCCCGAGACACGGCACCGGGGTATATTGAGACACGGCATCGCCAGCTCAGTGCTCAGCGCCCATCTTCGACCAGAGCTCCTGTGAGCTGCCGACCGGCACACGGACTCTGCGTTCAGACATTTCGAGGAGGCCATGAAATCGGACGACGGAGGCTTTGGCTCGCACGTTTACACGTTCATAAATTATAGCTTTATCCCAATGCTCACAATCGACACGCTTAATTGCGCCGACAAACGGCACAACTTAGCGCTCCAGTCAACTGATACTTCTGAGGAGTGGAAACATCATTCTGTAGTCGACTATACAGAGGCGAATATTCATAATCGAGTTTTTAACGACCAAAACGTCTTAATCGCTTTGCATAGCATTGGCGAAGTGTTACTTCTTTGCAAATATGAAAAGGCCGCACCTTTTCTCGGAAACACGATGATTCAATGGTGAAAAACGCCGTAGACAGCTGACAGCTAAGCAAATCATAACGGAATAGACCGATTAAATAAAGAAAGCTGTAGACTGGTAGTGGTCAGCTGTCATTTTCAAGTCCAGAGGAGATGGGGTAACTACTAACTACCTCCTTTGCTAGTCAGAGTGCCCATACAATAAAGGCTACAGCCATGATTTACCAAATACCGTGTATAACTTGTTACATATTTTGTTGTTTTCTTACCCTCTGGACTATTTGGGTTGGATTTCTGTAGGCACGAACTCTGCTCAGCCCTGCAGGCTACTTGAATCGGGATCGGAAACTTCCGCTTAGCACCTGATGCACAACATATATTGTTTATTATTCTACATTTAACCAACCACTTTGTAACGTTGTTTACCGTCCCGTAATCGGTTTCCCAGTTGATTGGGCTTTCAAGTAGCCCCGTTCCGTACACATGAGGTGTGAAACGGGCTCTCCTGGGTCGGCGAGGCACCCTGTTTACATTCATTTCTGCCCGGTGTGTGTTTTCGCCAGGAGTTCTCATCTGTGCTCGGAAGATCAATATGTCCCGGCTCGTCCCAACTGCCGCTCTCACTCGAGCGGAAGTGGGTACTAATGATCTTTCAGCACAGGGATGACTTGGCAAAGCATAAACAAAGTTAACTGACTGTTGGCTCACGTACCTAAGAAATTCATATATGCTGCAGTAAACGGGTTAGGGGATAAAATAATGGGTTAGAAGTAGAGTTGCAAAGTTTTCCCAATGGGCTGCTACCGGCACCGCCCCGCCCCACAAAAATTTTCTGGGATACCGGCATGCTACCACGCCCCAAGCAAAAAAACCGCCAAATTACCGGCATCTGTCTCAAGGCCAGTTTCCAAACAAAGTGTTTTGTGTTGTTTTGATTCTGGCTCATTCTGCCTTTTGCCTAGGGAATGTTGTCATGAACATTTATTTATTTTAGTTATTGTATTATGTCCATTACCTACCATTAGACTTACTGAGTATTCTTTGTCTTCCTTTGATAGACCACATAGTAGATTCTTGACAATTCTAATTAGAGCCAAACCTGTGAAATGCTGAGGTTCATGTGTTACCCCTGTCCCCTACCCTTAGCAATGGAACTTCTACCACAAAATGTATTTTGCAGTGGCTAAGATTGCTGTTATTACAATTCAATAGCCTCTTAGTGTCCAAAGTTTGAATCATATGCTGACAATTTTATTGTGTGCAAAATCAAAAATACCGGCATGCTACCGGCAAGACATGCCAGATACCACGAAAAAACCTGCGGTAGTGAAAAATTACCGGCATGCCGGTAGTGCGGTAGGGAAATTTTGCAACTCTAGTTAGAAGTAATGTTTATTATTCAGCCAAAACAAAAGAACCATATATCAAGCCCGTTTCCGATGCGTTACAGCCCCTGACGTTGCCTCTCTGTGCCGCCAGTTCTCACTGAACACGGGACCGAGTAAGTTCGGCCAGCGGGTGCTCACCATCTACCACCCGAACGTGTCGGCGGCGCACTGGTCCTCCGAGCTCGACCAGTGGGCGGCGGCGTACCCGGCGCGGCCCGAGCCGCCCCCGGCCGACCCGCAGGCCGGCCAGCAGCGGCTGCTGCACCTGCTCGACTACTTCCAGCAGCAGGGCGGCTGCTGCGGAGTGCTCTCGTACCGCGACTACGCGGCGCGCGGCGCCCTCCTGGCCACCTCGTGTCGCTGCCTGCCCTCCGGCCACGGCCGGCTGCGGCCACAGTGCACCGGCAGCGCGCACCTGCTGGCGGACGGCTCGCGCGCGCCGCTCTGGTCGCGGGGCTGCCAGCTCGTCACTGACGACTTTCTGCGCGACCTGTTCTACCTGCGCGACCTGCTCATCTCGACAGTGGTGTTCCAGGTGCTCGTGCTGCTGCTCGGCATCGTGCTCGGTCTGAACACACCCATCAAGGCGGAGCTGGACGATGCTGACCACGACTCGGACGGCTAGCGCGAGGACTCGGGTGACGTCACCAAACATATCGGTGACGTCACCAAACACTCCAGTGACGTCACCAAACACATGGGTGATGTCACCGCTGCCGGTCGCCGCCCGACGAGCGCCGGCGCCGGTACGGCATCAGTGCCGGCGACCAGACGTGATGACGTCACTCGTGTTGACGTCATACGCAACGAACCGGAGCTAAAAGTGAATGGTGCCGACGCCGGGACCTTTGAGGCCGCCAAGCAGACGCAGCGGCCGCTTCCGGAGGTGGCGGTCTCTGAGTAATGATTGCCAAACTGGCTGGAGTCTCAGGAATAGACCAGCAGTGCCAACGGCCGTGGGAGAGCCACTGCTAATGTGGGGACTAGCTTCCGACTCTGAAATCCGCAGGCTTGGACCGTCGTATGAAAATATGCCCGTTTGTGTAGTGAATGCACCGGTCTCCTTGGCCAGCAAAGTGTTCGTACACCCTAGTCACTCTGCAGTAAAACTGTGTGCGATGACTGGCGCACTTCCTCAGGTCAATTAGTCAAGGCCTTTCTACATTGAGGTTCTGCCCGGGATTCTGCACTATTCAAAACAGCAGCTCAGCCGTCTATGGTAAGTATTGTTCAATTATACTTGCTTCTCTGTTCCTTTTAGCCAAAGCCCATTAACTTCTAAGCCCGCTCGGTAAATTCGTTAAATAACCAAACACTCAGTCGCGCGGTGGGAATCCGTATCTCGGCCTACTCAGGCCGCTCGAATCACGCGGCGGTTAGGGGAAAATATTTGTGGCTTTAAGTAAAGGTCTGGTCAAAGAAGCTCAGGTCACAAAATTGTTTGAATGAGCTACCTTATTCCATATAATCAATCAATTTTACAAGTTTTTCTGAGTCAACTGGTGACTGTCCCCAGACACTAGATCATTTTCACCAGTGCGTCATATATACAACTAGTGACGTCATATATGACCTCAGTGACGTCACATATGTCCTCAGTGACGTCATATATGCCCCCACTAATATATGCATGACCTAAGTGACGTCATACGTGCTCCAAGTGACGCATGTATGCACTCAGTGACGCCATATCGACACTTTTTCAAACTGTTTTCTCATAAATATCCAGGAAACGCGAAAGATTCCTTTTAAAAAGTGCCCAATCAACCGATCTTGATTAAATTTGAGTGTTCGTAGGCTTGTTCTGGCATTGCTTCATCTGCCAACACAGACAAACTTGAGAAAAATCGGGTGACTGCACATTTTTAGAAAGCTTCTATGCAACTTGTCGGAAAATCACGAGAGAACAGCTGAAGGGTTGAAAAAAGGTGTCGATATATGCGTTCACTAAATATATGTTGGCTCACTGCGGAGTGTCGAGTGCAGGCTGATTTGTGATCTTGTGGGCTGTTATCTACCCTCTGCACAGATGAGCACCAACACAGTATCTGTAAACTTTCTCTTTTTTTGCCAAAATGTCCAAGTTAACACAAAGAAGAAGAAAAAAACATTAAAGAATGTCAAAGGAAGGGGCATTATTCTTTTTACTGTACACATTTACGTTAGGCGCTGACGGTCACCTCACAGGCAGCCCGTGGCCGGAGGTCGGCTCCGATTGGAGCATGTCACTAGGGTGAGCGGCTGGGCGGGCTGTCCCACCGGAACACTTCCGTCCCTACGGCTACGGGATGGGCCCCCAACCAAACCGCTGCGGAGCAGCTGTCGGTAATTGTTAACCCCAACCCTCTCCAATACCAAGTGACTAAGGAGCGGTACAAAAATTCGAGATCCATTTCATCTGTTTCTGGTTAAAATAATTTACTAAGAATGTCTGCTATATCAATTGAAAAATAAATTAAGGCCAGGATGAGTATGTGTAGGTTTTTTCTGAATTCGTAAGTCATCGATGCGGGAGATATGCGCAGGTGGATATGAATAGCCTTCTACATTGTACGTTAAAGGGACAGTATCACCATTTTGATGAAATTTGACATTGCATAGGCCCCACCTTTCTGGTCCGGGAACTGAGGACCGATCCTCGAAGCTCCACACCGTTATCCCGCTATCGCCGCGCAAAGTACGAAAGGTGTACTACACTTTGAATCGTGCTTCACTATCTTCACTGTTTAAATGTTAGCGCCGTTTTGAATTGACCGCCAGTAATAAAACTTTTACCCTGGTCATTTCATCAAATTTTATAAAGCCAAAACGTTTTTCGCACTTATTCATCACCGTTAAATTCATTAAATAGTCGTAGGCAATTTCCGCTGTTTCCTTCGGATTCTAGCGGCTCAACAAAGGAATTCCTCCAGCTTGAATCACAATCTCCCTCCAATGTATGACGTATATGTATGACGTCATCTGATCTGCTAAAAGTACTTCACATTTGCTTCAAGTACGAAAATATTGTCACGTGATATCTTCTGGGCAATACCTAATGCTGCCTTTCCCTAACGACAACTCAATCAGAAGAGCGGCCGCGTAAGCGTAGCGTCAATAATGTATTATCTGCGCCAGTTCTGTAGTAATTTCGCAGGCTTCCAAAGTGGCGGCCATGCTTGTAGTGGTGGTTCGCTCATGAAAATGACTCGCTCATGAAAAAATATTTTTCACCGAGTTCGGTCCTCAAACTATGTTTTTCTGATTCAGAAAAATAAGAAATGCTAGTAAAAAAAAAATCAGCTCCATACATTGATTTTTTTTTTCGATGATACTGTCCCTTTAACATAAATTACTTTTATTTTTAGGACACTGAAGTCAACGTTTACTTTTATGTTCGTCTTTTTCCAATTACATCTATTCCTGCTTTGGAAACGAGACGGCTTCAATTGCAACTGACTCTTCTCTCTCTCCCTCTCTCCTTCTCTATCTCTCCCTCTCTCTTTATCTCTCCCCCCTTCTCTCTCTCTCTTCCTCTCTCTTTCCATCCCCTTCCTCCATCTCAGACACACATACCAGCTCGCTCTCAGTCTCAGAGACTAATTGCCGCTGCTCGTCGGACACCCGCCCGCTGCGGAGTGCGGAGTGGAGGTGCGCCCGGCTGCGGAGTGCGGAGTGTGCGGAGGTGCGCCCGCCGAGGAGCCGTGACTTCCTCCCGGGCCGCCGAACGGCCCGCGGCCGCGCTGCAATCAATAGGCACCAGCTGCGATCAATGTAACGCCGCTGTAAGACATCCCGGCCGGCCGGCGGCCGCCGCGCCGGCACACAGGCTGCATTATCCAGCGGTCGGCGCGCCGGCCAGGTAGAGAGGAGGTCCACTCACGGTGTCCCCAGGCAGCGCCCAGACGGGAACTCCCCACACGGACTCCGTCCGACGGAGCGCGGTAATCATGAAATAGAGCGCATACCCGGCTCCGTACGACAAGGATGAACGGGGGACAAATGTGGTCCGAGGTGAAAGGGTAGGGGTCAGGCCAGAGGTTTAAATCTCACATTAGTGGGGTTGAATGGCTTCTGGTCGGTCAAACAGATAAGCCCCTGGGCAGTTTCGCTGGTCTGGTAAAAGATGTCAGTCCTGCTTTCTTCTTTCCTTTTTTATTTTGTGATGTCCCGTCCCGAGGCAAAGTGAATTTAGCGGGTGATTTGCTGTCTTGCTGAAGACTTAATGATTGCCGTTGACTTCGAAAACATTCGAATCTTGGTTCGAATACTGTTGATAAATAAATTGCCTGTATTAAAATCATCGGAAGACAATTCCGATGGTCGGGCTCAAATAAATGCTAGGCCGAAACCAGTCGGTACCATTGTCCAATGTTTCATTATTCTATAATAAAATATAATCATATTTGGTCAAACATTTAGCTTTCACAATTACTTACGTTGACGAAGAATGCCGATAATCATGAAGTTTCGCCTCTTGCCCAGCTGATGTGGCCACTGGCCAGGCTTTAGCGTGCAACCATAATGCCTTGCCGCACTTGGGTTCACTTAAAGGGACCCTCCCACCTTCAAAAAAGTTTATGAATTGGCATGAAAGTGATGTCGCTCGGTTCAGAAAGAGCGAAAACGAATATCTACCAAATTTCACCGAAAAATATTCACCGGTTTTCAAGATATTAGACTTTTACTTTTGTTTACTTTTTGGGATCTCCGCTGTTTCTAGCGACTTTATTTTAGAAGTGCGGCGTTTGCGGCAGATGTTGCGCGCAAATAGCATATACCACCGCGTGCTACAAAACGTTTTAGTCAAACTTAATGACGGACGTTCGAAAGCCTGATGACGTCATCAGATTCCCGTAATGGTTAAGAGATAGGGACCAAGCTGGTCCCACCCTGCAAGTAAAGGGAAGAAATTTCTTGAATACCATAAAGCTGCGGGGGTTGCGACCAGGATAAATGGTGGTTTCTGAGCCTGGCCGCAAACTTGGCTATCTCAACTCAAAACTAATGTTAAGGTGGGAGGGTCCCTTTAAAATCCGTGAAATATGTCCACAAAAATACAATGTCCAAAAATGTCCACAAAGATCTACAAATCACCTTTACGCTCTCACACGAGACACGCCACGGGCAGCACCGCCTCGTTGATGCGTTCCCGCGCTCGATCTCAGAGACACTACTGAAAGTCGAGGCCTTGTCAGAAATATGACACGGATACGGAAAATGACGCGACGCGCGTTACCCGATAGGCCGATCGTCGCCTCGCAGACAGTGTGATTAAATGATGGCCGAGAGCTCACAAACGATGACCGAGCTCTGACAAACGATCGCAATGGCCGATAACTCACAGATGTTCACCAATTAGGCTCATAAATATAAACGATAACCGGGAGTTATAACAAACTTGTACCGTGTCCGTGAGACATCCAAGCTACCAGAACTCAGTGAAGCATACGAATGCGACAAACGAATTATGATCAGTCATGCTGAGGCGATACCTATAACATAAATGATACCACTCGCAAAAAAAAAAAACAGATGAACTGGACGAAAATCTACCAAACGGAAGGCATTTGCATTATTGCGCATAGGTCCCACCCTTTTTCACTATCCTGCATAATGGCCCCATGCCCTCTCTCTCTCTCTCTCTCTCTCTCTCTCTCTCTCTCTCTCTCTCTCTCTCTCTCTCTCTCTCTCTCTCTCTCTCTCTCTCTCTCTCTCTCTCCCCCTCCCTCCTTCCCTCCCGACCTCACTCTGTCCAATACAAGTCGCCTGTACGCCTCAGGCAGCTCTGGTTTAATTACAGGTTGGCGACGGGCGACAACCAAGCGGGACGGAGCAGCTCACCGTGGTCTCGACAGGACAGCACAGCACAGCAGCCGTGCGGGAAAATGCGACATCCCCAGACTGCCTGGTCGGGAACAGCCGGACAGGACAGGACAGGACAGGACAGGACAGGACAGGGCGCTGTCACCAACCAATTGTGGACACTGGACAGCCCGAGCGCTGCCTTCACCCGCCCGGTGTAGGCGGTCGGGAGAAATAAGGAACGCGTCACTGGACACGGGATGGGAGGCACTATGCTGTGTCTGCCACATGCAGAGAAGTCGTCGCTTGGACAGAATTTCGATACGTGATTGTCAGTCGGGCTTCAAGTATGAGGTACTGTCAGGCTGTTGTAATGTTACGTAGAAGCCCTAGATATACCGCCGGGGCTGCTCTTGGGCCTGGAGGTTATGGGCGTGTTTTTATTCACGGTTAAATATACCTGTGATATTGTTGTAGGATGGGTGAGCGGGGCGAGGACATGGTGTTAGGAATAATGTTGAGCATCGGCGGTCGATGTAAATGTGTCATGAATAGCTAGATTTCCCACCGACAATTTACGCGTAAGCTGCGGCTATCCCAAATTAACACCAACCAACTGATTAAACTATTTGTTAAGGTACCCAGACGGCACACTCAACAGCCATTAAAAGAGCAACCATTGGCTCACGGACTCACAACAGTAAACTGTGCTACTCCTTGTCGGGAAAACGTGCGGCGCAGATAAAAGCAAGTCAGAGTGCAGGCTAGGCATTTGTTACGATCACATCCATCCATTGAATATGACACCACTGATCACAGATTATGATAGTCTTATAAGCTTCTACGTAGGACAAGTGGTTAAAAACGGACCCTTGGAGCTTCGTTTCGGCCACCGCCATAGGCGCGGGAGCCGGGGGGGGGGGGGCAGTGGGGGCAGCTTGCCCCACCAACTCTGGGGCCGTGGGGGCGGTGCCCCCACAGCTTTGAGACGGAATACCACACTTTTTTTTGCAAATGTTTTCTTTTCTGTTGAAAAAGCCGAGGGGTGAAAAATAAGTGGCCTAAAACCGGTGAGAAAACTAGATTTGGGGGTACCCTAGGTTAATCTCTATTATGGTGTGCCCCCCCCCCCCCCCCCCCCCAGTCGGAAAGTAGTTCCCGCGCCCCTGGCCACCGCACCAGTATTGAACAAACGTGGTCAACTTCAAAAGCCTTTTACTCACTCCACGGCAAATGCCAGCACTCGGCACCCTAGTTCAGGATCAGTGAGTTCTGATGGATAGGACCTTTACCTAGTCATGTCACAAAGCAGGCCGCACTCAGGTCTCAGCACCAGTCTGCAAAGCGCCTCTTTCCAGGCTGTTTCATCGCATTTTACTGCATTCTGCCCCGACCCGAGTCACGCCATATCCCCACACATTGGTTTGGCAAAGTGGAAACAGCCGACTTTAGCAACAGGTGTGTCAGGAAGAACCAGCTTTACGCTTCTGAATAGCCGCAAGGCCCCTACATTAGATTTGATGAACGAGCCAACGCTCGATTCGGCACTCAACTCCCTGGCGAGTAACCCATCATTCGAGCATGATTAAACAATCAGGGTTAACTTTGCGGTGGGTTGAAGGAGAAAAATGTCTACGAATGCGAAAACATGCAACAGAATCCGACCTTATTGAGATTTATTACCCAGAGCGTACGCTCGGAATATTGTGAGCAGTGAGGACTCTAGTTGAATTTCTTATTGTTGATAGGCTGAGACGTGAGTCCATCTCTGGCGTTCCGCGTTGAGCGGTCGTTTTAGGCCGTATTCCGTGATAGACTTTAGGACACTGGTGTTTGTAGTGTTATCTGGTGACTGTTGTATTAGCACGAGACATCAGCATTCAGTTAGTCTTTGAGAATGCGGGACATCTGTGCTGACGTGATTGTGTAAGACGTGAAGTCGATTGATCTGGGTTTGATGGCACATGAGAGGAGTACGCAACGTCACCGATAGTCTGCGAGCTACTTCCTCATGTCAAGTCGCTAGTCAAGTTCAGTGTTGTCGATTCCCGTTTCGCCCGTGCCGACCGACTCTTCCAGCCGTGTGATTGTGTACTTGGTGTCATTATTCCCGCCCCAGTTGCCTCGGAGCACGTCAGGGTAGTTTGGCAGGACGGGGCTGACCTCACGCGGACTCACGTGGGGCTGTAATCAGGTACTAGTCTTTTGCACGGTGTGGTTCGACCCCCAGTTCGTAGATCAGTCACCCACCTGTGTAAGGCCTGTGACTGTCCATCATCTGCTGTTCTCCGCTAACCCCCAACGATGGTTCAGCAATGATAGTCAAGCAATACAGCTAACCAGACGCCGTCTCTCTTCAACGTTCTACTCCGTCACATCCCGGGAGTTAAAATCAACATCGCAGCTATTCGGAAGCCCTGTATTTGGTAGAATAACGACACCCCACAGCCGTTTCAGACACTCCAGTCGTTTACCGAGTCGTATCACTCAGCGATGTCTTCATTAAAAGGTCACCTGAGGCCTGCGACGAGCGGACAAGACCATCCAGCTCACTCAGAGCGGCCATTCTCGCCTGTGGCGCTCAGACCCTGTCGCCGCGCGGATTACCGGCCGACGGGCTGAAAGCGGGCCTGTCTGACAGTCACAGCCGCTCGCTCTCACACTGTGGCGACCGCTCCGCCTCCCACGCACCGCGCCAGAACATAGCTGACGCCACAAGTTCCGCCCACGCCGCCGTCAGCTGCTCCCTTGAGACCGACCACGAGCGACTGGCGCACCGACTAGTAGGAAATGCGTGGGTAGACAACTCACTGTCATTTAGCGTCATCCCACGACACACAAACATGATCAACGTCCGCACAAAACATACACCGGGTCACGGACGCCAGCTCATCATCACAGCCGCAGCGAGCTACTCGATCACGATGGTCCGAGCGCGAACATCACTGTCTTCATTACGTTCATCAGATAGGTCCAGCCCGTCCAGCCCTGCCCGTTTTAAGCTCAGTCCGGCTCTGAAAGCTCAGCACTCCAAGCGAGATCAGTGTCCTCCGAGAGGACCCTGAAGCGGGGAGCTCGGCCCCGGAGAGAGCAGCGCAGGTCCCACGGGGGAGAGGAGAGCTGCTGCCACAGGGGACGCTCCCGCCCCAGGTACCGCCGACGGGGCGACGCGGTCGTAGAAGAGCATGTAGGCGGCGGAGGAGAAGACCTCGGAGGCGGAGGCGCGACTCACCAGGGTGTCGGAGGTGTAGAACCAACTGGGGAGAGGGCGGGGCGGTTAGAGCCGTGAGGGGACACTAACTAACCGAACCGATCTCCCTGTACTCGAGTTATTGCAGATATCTGGCAAAATGTCAAGAATCGTATTTTGATTCCGGATAGCAAATGAGTGATTATTAAATATAAGCCGTTGTGACAGATGTAACTTTTATTTAGCTGCATTTTAATGTGAGGTTCTTAACCCTATTAGTGGCAGGGGGGGGGGGTTGTTTTCATCCACCCCTCAGGTTTTTCGGGAATATCTCCGAAACCGCTGAAGCTACGATGCTGAAATTTTCTGACTTTTCCTAAAACTAAATTGGGCACATTCCCTGAAAATTTCAAGTTCATAACTTTACCATGGACGGCTCCAGAGCACTGGGAATTGGGGGGTCCTATTCGTGAAGCGAGTCATTTGGGCGAAGATCACGATGCTGATGCATTATAACTGTATGCACCAGTTTTACGAACAGTGAATGAAAGGTATCATGTGATAACATATACAAAGTTATTGTGCCTCCTCTTTTGACACGTTTTTGCTATAATAGGCGGATCCAGGCGTCCAAAAAGGGGGGTTATGTTTTACCTCCCAACATAGGTGCCCTGACACCGCCTATGCATGACCAATACAATTGTAGTCGTTCTCTCATAAGAAAATTGTAACATAACAAGACCATTACCACCCTTTTTAGAAACAGTACCAACAAAAACCTTATTTACTATACTTTTTGTGTACCCCCAAACTCAATGATCTGTATCCGCCTATGATTTTTGAAAATGCATATTTTTAGGATCCATGTGACTTCCTGGTTCATTCTCTATCGATCGGCAAAAGTTACGTTAAGATTGGTTCAGAAACCTGGCCGTGATAAACAGTCTAAAATGTATCTGCAATTTGCCCGTTTTTACCCCCCTCTACCCTCCTATTGACATTTTTTTAATTTTTATTTTTTAGAAATGTAGATCACGTTAAGCGAAATCACATGCCGTTTGAATTTTGAAAATCGGCCCGTTAGATCTCGAGATATCAAGGGGGGGTCGTAAACAGCCCCCCTGCCACTAATAGGGGTAGCCAGGAGCCTGCCACTAATAGGGTTAAGCTACCTAAAGCTACCATCACTACCTAAACTCCCAAACTGATTGCCACGTTTTCGGATGACTACGTAAAGCTTCATATTCACCTCCTCCAACCCATATCAATCCTGCCAGACCCGTGCCGGCGCATCTGTCCCACGTCTCCCCAAATAGACATCCGCCGTCTACCGTCCCAGCGAACAAAGCACGACACCAAAGGTCACAGTGCCGGCGGCGGTCGGCCGCCGCAATAACCCCTCAGAGTCGGGCGTAGACAGCCGCACAGCCGTGGCCGCCGGCGATACCGGCCGGCTCGGCTGACCTCAGCACATCTCTGCTCGGCGGCGCAGGGAGCGGGATTCCGGCGGAGGATACACGGCCGGCCGCCACCGGCGCACCTCTGAACAGGCCGCCGGGCGCCCGCTGAGCCGCCCGGCGCCCCGCGGACCGGCGCCCCGTGCCCGTCAGTCCGCGTCCGCCGATGTGTACACCAGCAGACAAACAGTGCCGGCCACTGGCGTCACAATGAACGAGCGTTCCGGCCCGACACACAGCCACAGCCCCCGGGGAGAGCCGCTTCTATAGTCCGACGCGCGCCGACCGGGCGTAACCAGGCTGGGACGTGCCACGCCTGGCGGTCGAGATAAGGACGGAGCGTTGAAACAGGCGGCTGCCCGAGTGGAATAGGAATGGGAGACGGTTCCTCTGAATGTTTCTGAAGTGTATGATACGATGATGATGTGGGATAACTGGTGAAACAAGACAGAGTAAAGCCGGAGGAATTGAAATGAACAATGCATCCTATGCATGGATGCATTGGATGGATGCATTGCATCCTATGCAATGCATCCTACAATGCATCCTGTAGATCAATTTAATGTCACATCGGACACTAACAGTCTTCTATTGCCCTTTACCCTGACGACCCATCACAATCAACGGCGGTAATGAAAAGGTCAAATGTCACACAACTTGCGTCATTGTGTTAGCTAGAGTACGGCTCAGCGGCTGCCTTGCTACACTCACCCACGACCACATCAAACCTGTGTTCACTTCCACCTCAATGTCGTCAGCGAGCAGGTCATCCGGCCCGGGCAAACCTCGTTGGACCACGCTATCAATACGGCTGCTGAAGTTCAGAAAATATCCAATATCGAGCAGAGCCATTTCGTAGATAGCACGGTCTACCGTAAATCCGCCCCTCGGCGCGGTGGAGGTAGGGTTATGGGGTCCAGGTGAGTTGGCGCACCTGGCGCCGAGGTCGGGTCGACTCGGGACGTCTGGGAGGGTACGCGGCGTGGGGGATCCGGGGCCGTCTTTTGTTGTCGAGGCGGGTGTGTTTGGAAATCCGGAATGGGAGCGTAGTGCCCGGAGTGCATCCTATTGGAGTTTGGAAGAGTCACGATAGTTATGAGATGGATAGAGGGAGGGATGGAAGTTTACGTCCTGTTGTCCAAAAGGCGACTAGGTCGATACGGTAGCGTAACTCCTCACCTCGTCAATTACGAGATGAGGAGTTACCCTACCTGGCGTGAGTAGGTGACACGTTCTAATTCAC